ACGAAAACTTGATTTTACACAAAATAAAATAGTTGGTTAGAGTCATGCGGTATTGAAAAATAATTTCAGTCGACCTCTATATACCATCGTGTTTGGTAGTCCTATGTCAGTGTTATAAAATATTATATATATACATACATTTAATATACTTGAAATTATGTCGTCGGCCATCGCAGACATGCAATGCGTTCTTGGAGCAAACAATAAATATTTTATTAAAGAATTATCTATAGTGGACACTGAAACATGGGCGAACCAACACTGGATTTTTAAAAATTCTAAATCTAAGCAGGACAACAAGAGTCGAAAAACTAATAAGTGGTTGGAACATAACTATCATAAACTTACTATAGAATATGGTGATGTTGAGTATGAAGAACTAAGTAGAATATTGAACTCTTTAAAGTTCTCATGCATTTACGTCAAAGGTGAGCAGAAAAAACAGCTGCTTACAGAATTTATACCTCAAGTCGCACTAATCAACATCGAAGACCTTGGATGTCCACGTTTGGACCAAATATGTGATGATGAAACTCTACCTTGCTGTATTTTTCATATGGAATTTAATCCAAAACAATGTACATTCTATAAAGTATTTGCTATAAGGAAATGGTTTATAAATAATTCTTAAAAATATGATTGTATACATTTTATTTAATAAACATAATTATATTTTAACATTGTTTTTTTTAATTTATATGTTAACATATTTATGTTAGCATTTACAAGGTTTTTTAATTATACTAATATTATCATCCATCTACCTGAAACAGAAAAACATGATTATAAACATGAAAAAACTTAAATATCTACCAATTATACATTATAAACATAAAAAAACTTAAATATCTACCAATTATACATTATAAACATAAAAAAACTTAAACATCTAACAATTGCACATTATAAACATGAAAAACTAAAAGTTTATACCCTAATGTAACTTAAAAACATACCGTTACACAGTATTTACAATAATTTCAATTTTATGTGTTGCGTTTACAAAAATATATACAAGAAATATACTAATCTAACTTAAAACTATTAAAACATACATATTATTTACAATAATTTTAATTTTATGTGTTGCATTTATAAAAGTATATACATTAATCTATCTCAAGTATAATTATATAACATGATAATATTTACAATATATAACAAACTATATAACGTTTAATATTTACAATAAAACTAATTAACAGGAAAAAAAATATACAATATATATAAAATCAGGTTATGTAATGTAGAAGGCCTCTCATTAATCCTTTCTCTTCCTCGTTCCAGTTCTCTCCATCTTCCTCAAGTTCTGCCAATATGACATCTTCTCTGTAAAATTAAGAGAAAATGTTAGTAAAATAATTTAAATCAGGGCTTAAAACCGTTATCAATGAAGTCGGTAATCGGCTCCGGTAGGAGCCGAAAAATTTTGAAAACCGGAAACCGGTTATCGTTTAATTTTGATATTTTGGAAACCGGTAACAGTTTCTTTAAAGATGTTTCAAACACTATGATAACCGTTAATCGTTTAAAAACCGTTGATTATAATTTTTGGTAATCGGTTACCGGTTAAAACCGGTTTTTAAAAATCATTTTTTTAAAAATTTTTTATCATATTTTTGAAACAGTTTATTTAGGTTATTCGTGGGTTGATAACATAACTATTATTATTACAAAATCAAAATCTTAATATGCTTTAATTTGGTCGATTTCCTTCAATTTAAATATTTATTTTTTCAAACTGATTTAAAGTTTAAAACATATGATTAAGATAATGGCGATATTAATAAATCAAAAAAATAAATTGCATAAAAAAATGTTATTGTTATAATTTTCTTCTTTATAACCGTAAAAAACCGAAATAATATATAATTTTTTTGAAGGGCAAAAATGTGTTTCTCCAAGTTTGACGAATGCTTACCCGGTTATATACTTGGTACATCCCACTACATTACATTTACTACTGTTTTTATTTATAACATACGTAAAATACATTTCAAGAACAGGGTTCTTCATTTTTAATTTCCATGTATAATATATGTAGTTATTCTTCAAATTATTTAAATCTTAACCCCTTTAAACAACAGCTTTAAAATAATATCATTGACCAATGTATAAAGTATAAAGTGTGATAGACAGTATTAAAATGTCGTAAATACTAAATGGACTAAGCTCCTATTCCACCAACTATTTCGTAATAGGAATCAGCGCCCGAGGACGACGACGATGTTTATGACGGTATTTATAATATTAGTTATACAAATAATACAATTATACCTATATATATATATATATATGTGTGATATTCACAACAAATAAGCAATACTCGACGACAATTAATTGGGGAAAGAAATTTAAAAATAGCTGGAAAATTAAATTCAACTATAATGTAATCATGACATAATTCAAGTATTAAATTCCACGAAAAAACCGTTAATTTTTTGGTCGGGAATAGATTTTGGTTATAATACCGGGATTGAAAAAACGAGGTAACCGCTTTGATGTTAATATTTAGATATTTACCTTGATAACCGATAACCAATAACCGCTTCCAGCATTCCAAAACTAAGAACGGTTATCGGTTTTTGGTTCTCAAATTTACGGTTTTTTACCGGTTTTCGTTACAAACCGGTTACCGGTTTTAAGCCCTGATTTAAATATATACTTTGTAATAACTTACTCTATACTATAGTGTCCATGTGCTAGTGTGTGGACTTTATCTTCTAGTACCACCCTCTTGTCATCATAGCTGTTATATGTTAATTTCTTTGTTTTTATGGTCATCAGTTGGTGGTTGAATGATCTTATCGACACATTCTCTGTATATAATTCCAACCCATCTTCTTCAAACAAACACTTCTTATGATCTTCAAGAGTCATGTGGTTTTTAACCACATGACCTCTTATCCCCTTTGCTTTAATTTTCTCTCCTACTCTGTCCTCCGGTACATTATATACATTAAAAGCGTAGGACTTTGCCCTCAAAGCACAAAACTCTGTAATTATATCACCATCCACTTCATCAGAAAAGTACCCTGGGGACTTCTTCCTGTCTACAACATAACATGGATGGTCACTGGGTAGATTGGCAGTGTCCATCCGGTCCAACAAGCTACTGTTAGCCGCCGAAGTCTTTGTAGAAATCATCCGTTTGAATGTGATACACTAGTGAATCTAGAAAAAAGAATGATATATTAATATATTAAATACATGAGATTATTTTAATTATATTTACCTGTGTCGGTATACATAAGAGTTAATCTAGGGCAATAGTGTTTCTTCATTACATTGTAATGATAGTCATACATCATTGTTTTTGATATGTCCAGCACTGCAAATCCTGAAAAATAATAAAATGTGTTAATAGATGTATGATAAAAGTGGTAAAAAGTATATTTACCAATATATATAGGTTAATCGAATCTAATAATTTTATTCTCCAAAGCGACAGCGTTCAGGTTTTCATTGTAATTGGTGCAGTGTTTGAATGTACACTTGTTAATCAGTTTCTGCAACCTCCTCTCACACGACACCAACTCCATCTTCATCTCCTTCCTCTTCAATTGCATAGTCTTCCCTAGAAAATCCAACACAAAATATCAGTAAAAATGTTTAATACATAGTATTTAGTGACTTACCAAATACAGCGTTATTCATCAACTTAAAGAAGTCTTTCTCAAAATCATTCCTAGCCCTCTTCCTCATCTCGGTATTTAACTCAATATATTTAGCCAGCAAATCTGACTGGTTAAATTGTATAATACTGTGTACCTATAAAAATAAGAGAAATGTTAAAAATCTGTTTAAAATCATATAAAATACAAATATTTACTTTTTCAACTATAAGACCATTCTTAATCGCCTGTTGCCGGTTTCGATAATGTATAATATAATTCTCCTTTTTCTCAAACGTTGTCATCAACTTCCTCACCTTTGAACCACGCGGCACACTATTTTGCGGCAGGAAGGGGAGGTCGTTGTGGATAGAATGTAATCTTGGGGGATATGACACATCAACCTCATACACTCGACCTATTGGTGATGTATCATCTAAATCATTTAACCCGTTTAATGTGGGTTCAACCCAGTTGAACCCGCCGTACGGCATGTACTGGGACATTTCCCACCCATACAAGTTGTTACCTATAAAAATAAAAAAATTTATAAGTATGATTAAAATTAATAAGTATGAAAAAAAAATAATACGTATGAAAAAAATATACTTACAGTCCTGATATATTATCCATGATTTATCTTTTGTCTCATCATACCTCGGGGTTTTTGAATTATTTGCCTTCGCGTACCTCTTACTCGCTTGTACTAGTCCACCGCGTATCTGTAAAAATAAATAAGATGATTATATATACATTTTTAAAAATAAAATAATATACTAGCCATTCTCAAACATCAACAGCATGTCATAATCGTGTAATAATTGAAGTTTCTGCCCCGTAAACTTTAACATCGCGTCAAAACTAAGTCCTGGGGCAGTGAAATAATTTGCGGCGTCGAGGTTGTATGGCCGCATGCATACATCGCGGAAGTTCTCAAAAACGTCCGCCAACAACAGCACATCGATTTTGAGATACAGGTCGCTATATTCGCCCAACGTATTGCAATCAAAGTGGTCCCAGACCAACTTCGAGTGTTCAAAATCTTCCTCCTTAATCCCGGTCTCCGTCAACGTACTAAAAAAATCCCTCTTACTCGGTAGTCTCCTGTCTTCCAGCCGCTCAAAACTATCTGTGTACTCGTATGGTACCTTTACGTGTCAAGAGCGGTATATCTCCGGCGACAAAATGTTTGGCTGTCTCACGGAAGCTCATGTTCGGGTGTAACTAAATTTTCGGCCAGGGACGACAGACTCGACGCCATAAACCTGAACGTGTCGATAAACCGAACAGTGAAGGTACTACTTATATATTTCGAGAAAGATATAAATTTTTCCTCACTGTTCGGTATAACATTGATCGCCTGTGTATCATACCCAAGTTCAGTGATTATGAAGTGCGAGTCGTAGTTTGAGAGATTATGAAATATACGGGGACAAATTTAGGTTGTTGCAACTCCAGGTTACACCTGGAGCACAAGGTCTGCCTAAATTTGCCCGTGAGATGGTCATGATCCCTAACCTTATCGCCCCCGACTAATATGCATTTGCATAAGTTACACGCATTACACTCTTGATGTGTTTTTTCTTCACCCTCGGTCATGATTAAAGGAATGTTCGTCTTCATCAGACCTTCAATTTTCCGGGCCACATCAACAATCGACTCCATGAAATGTCTCGCCACGTCCGTCCTGTCTTCGCTGCCACTGTAGATTACCGGCCCCGCCGGTATCTCGTGTTGAACCAATAAATCCGCCGGCACGTCCTCGCTCGCCTTCACCAAAAACCCGTAGCTCATCGCTTCGTGTTTTTGAATAATCGTGGTACTACCCCCTCTCGCCTCCTCCGCCTTCGCCAAGATCGCCTCGAAATCCGCGTAAATTACAAACGGGTGCCTCACCATGTTTTTCCACGCCCTGAACTCAACACAATCACCCTCCTTCGACATCTCCGGAAAAATTGGCTTGTGCGCCCCACAAATCAATTTATGTTGGTCCAGGGCCTCCTGTCAGCTCAACTTGAATTTTAAATTTTAGTTGTCAAAGCTGGTGAAGCACCTCTTGCAGAAAATAGCGCGACCGTCATGTTTGGTTTTTTGTGCACGTATGAGCAGGGAAAAACTAGAAATATAAACATAGCGCGAGATGTCGCCGTCCGTTACCAACAACAGGTCGAAATGATCCTTTTTTTCTTCGTCGACCACACGTAACGGATACACTTCGTACGTTGGGTACTTACGGGGCGCCTGGAATTTTTTGTCGAGCCCGTAGACATTTATGGAGACGATATTATTATTTTTTTCAAATGTTGATATATCAGACAGTGGAGTAGGGACCGATATATCTTCAAAATTATATTTTTTTCATGCTGACCTCCACACGAAATGCTGTCAGCCCCGTAACATGTCTCGCTAAAATTGCCCACTTAAAACATTTTTGATCTACATTTTGTGGGTTGATGGTACCTTGCTTCCTGTCGATATATTCCGGCAGCTGAATATAGGAGGAACCGCCCAGCGGAGTATATTTGTATACCGCCAACAACAACCCGTCTATTGACTCTAGCGCGAAACCGCTGCCTCTCCCGGTGTACTCGTCTTTATCCTTCGTCAATTTCATATAAGCCCTCTCTACAATGGTTCTTATATCGCTGTCAGGGTAAATTTCAACTGCGAGGTCTTGAACGCCCTGTTCTCCGATGAATTGGGGACGTTGGGCCGGTTGTATGTCGCCTCTAGCTTCAAATTAAATTTTATTGCGTGTTTTTCTACGTGTTTTTTTAATAAATTAACTAGTTCAGGCATAACTGGATGGAGAAAGTCTGAATAAATCATTGTATTAACCAGATTTTTAGTATAGTACCACACGATTTTACGGCTCGCAGACGACAAAATTTCTACGAACCCGGGAGCCTTAACAAGATTCAACCTAACTTTTTTAGCGTTAGCAGCTGAGACGGTGTTTTCAGCGGAAACACGTTTGCCATTTACGGCTACGGTGTAAGAATCTTTAAAAATAAAAAAAAAACCTAATATCCATATCTAACAATTAAATTTAATTCTATTAAAAATCTAATCAACCTGTGACTGAAAAAATAAAATCTAAGCAGCTTATAAAATAATATCTTTTAAAATCTATTTATCCCGTACGGAACAAAAAAAATTTAATGACATGTCCCCAGAACAGTGCTCTTGATATACATGCCACATGGTTTAAAAAAATCTAAATAATTCATATCGGTATATCATTAAAAATTTTAATGTCTTCGTGTAAATAATTCGTGATTAAGGCTTGTATTTTAAAAATTAAAAATCCATTTAATGACGTGTATTTTAAAAATCTAATGATTGAATAATAAAATAATACTTGTACGTTAAAATCAGCGGGCCCTTTTAAAAATCAATTCTGATAAATAAAATAAAACTAACCTGTATCCTCGAATTCATCCATGGCTTCCATACAAATGTCGTCTTCGGTTACCACATTCGAAACCACCGGCCGGGATATCTGGTACAAATATTTGCGGCGCAATCTGGACCTGATGGAGCAGGCTGGAGCAGGTTGAGTGATGATGGGTGTAGCTGGCGTCGGTCTCAAACGGACTGGAACGTTGACGATACCTTAATATAAATTAATATAAAATAAATTAATATTGTATAAGATAGAAATAAAACTTTATATTATTAATACATACCATGAATATTCTTCGTATGTTTGTTGAGCCCGGTTTTGTAGGAGAATGTCGAAGGACATATAGTGAACGGAAAACGTACACCCATATGTTTTTTTTGATGTGCTATCAAATTACGTTTTGCATTGAAACCTGATGGGCACTGATCGCAATTACACATGTTGTAATTGTTTAAAGTAATGACGAGAGAAAAATGAAAAAGTATTTAAACACTTGTAAAAATTAAACACGGAGTGAAAATTAAACAGAGTACGTAAAGTGAATTGTGAGGGCTATGAAAACACGGAGACAGCAAAGGCAAAGTAAACGTAAAGGTATGGGTGTCTGGAACAGACTGGCTCTCACTATGCAGACAACGGAGCAAGTGTCCAGAAATCTGAGCATTTCAAGCCGTGGGTTACCAAAATTACTATGATAAATGTGTACATCACTAGTTATTACCAATTATTTTAGGAACCATCGTTTATCAGTAAAATTTCCAGGAATTCGACTGTGCGTGTTGACAACAGACCGGACGAAGCAGGTCGTTCCGTTGACAATAGAACATGTTCGCCGTTTACTATCAATACGTGTCTAACACAATGGTGTATATTTCTATACATAACCCTTACTCGATGAATCCTTACAAAAATAGTTGCTACTTTTAAAATTTCCACTAATATAACCATCTAACAAAATATTTGAAAATCGTGTTACTTACAATAGATTTTCATCCCATCGGCTGTCTATAGATTACCCTTTAGGTCATCTTTACAAAAATAGTTACTGACATAGCAAGAAAAACAAACATATGCTACTTTTAAAATTACTACTAACATAACCATCTAAAAAAAATATTTAAAAATATTAATATAGTTTGAAAATATAAATTATTGAATGCATGGTTTTAAAATTTAAAAATATATATATTTTAATAATATATAATATAATTATAACACCCCCCTCAAAAACCATGTGCCGGCTAAGTTCTTCATCATCTTCATATGCCTCCATATGACTGATCAACTCCTCGTCATTTCCGTCTTCACTCCAATCCATTTCTGCTGTCTGCTCTCCAGAATGACGCGACGTATTCATAATTTCCCCTTCAAATAGCATGTTATATTCGGGGGCTAACATGGCCCGAGGAAGTTCTACCGTGCTATGTGAAACTGAGGACTGGGAATCTAAGTCTGGAAAAAGGTCATTTCTCACCCTCAGTACGTATGCTATCGGTGTTGTCGGCGGAAACATGTCTGGCGAAGCTTCTTCCAACAAGACAGGCTGAACCGGTGTCAGAGAACGTTGACAATTCTCCATCTGTGATTGTCGATGTGGTGATGGTGTTGCAGGGGGATGAAGAGGCGAAAATACCCTATGCCAATAATTATTTTCAACTTGAGTGCTCTGGTTAGTTAAGTAACCACTATCTCCGGATTGAGTCTAAATAATAATAATAATAATAATAATAATTTATTTTATATTTTATTTTTAAAAACAAAAAAAACTTACCATTTCACCATATACGAAAGTCATGCTCATACATGTTGATGAGAACTGGAGACTGGCTATGTATTTCGGCCAGACGTCGATTATACTCATCTCCTCAATATACCAGAGTACTCGGTGATGAATTATTTGACATCTAAAAATCGGATTATATGAAATTCTTAAAATATCTTACGAATAATATAAAACAAAATACTCACATTTTTACCGGTAATGATTATCACAAACGAAATATAAAAATTATAAATACCTACTATGATAAATAAAAATCTCATATAAGTAGATAAATTCGTATCTGAATATCTGTTGAGAAAAACTGTAAACGCAAAATGTGTGTACACCGGACAAAACACTGGATACACACTGATCGACCAGCCACATGGGTAAGGTACCGACCGTCCGTTGATCTCAAACATATTATGTTTAAGTAGGTAGTTTTTTTTTTTTTAAATATTTTCAACTATTTAGAGAGACACGATGCTAGGTGAAAATAGATATTATGTGAGTAAAGATAGTGAGCATATAGTTTTTCTGAAATAATAAAAACTGGTGTATGGTAATAAGTAGGGCTAGGATTTATATGCAATAACAAATTGTAAAATATGCATTTGATTTACAAAAATATGCAAAAACAAATTTTTATTATTTCTAGATATATATTTTTATTATAATTCATAATTTATTATTATTACATTAAATATAAGTTTATATAATTACATTAAATATTAGTTTATATTATTACACGCTACTATGATATGTTGTTTCAAATTTTCAAATACGAACGACTGGCGATTTCAACGTAGAATAGATTTATACTGACTAAAACTCCTTTCCACATCACACGATGTTATTGGTGCATATTTGAATGACGCGATTTTCCCTGGAGTTAGATTAATATTAATATATTCTTCTTCATTTTCATATTCACCGTTTATAATTCTATGCTGTTGTTAAAACCACTCAAATTTTTAAGTATAAGTGTCCGCACATTTACGCAACACGCGTCGTACTAATGAAATTAAATACGTCGTTAAATAATGTGTAGGTAATCCTATCGGTCGTCCGACCAAGATAAGATTAGATAGGTAATATTTATACTATATATTTACAATTCGACGGATAAACCAAAAACTATCGGTATTATGAAATAAACGCCATTTAAAATTAACAATAATTTATAAAAATTTAAAAATTTAAGTTAAAAAAAATAAAAACTCAAAAATCTATAAATATGCAATTATATGCATTGTGTTCAAAATATGCAAAAATATGCAAAAAAAAATTGATTTTATTTAAACGAGAGTAAGCAAAATCGTGGACAAATCTGACAAACAATCAATTTGGACTTAAGGAAAAAAACATGCAAATGCATATAAATCCTAGCCCTAGTAATAAGGAAAATATTATTTATTAGTTCATTTTTAGTTCAGGTTTCTTATTCTATGTAGAATAAAATGAGAAGTGTGAAAGTCAAAATTTAAATATGACAGAATGGGCATCACATTCATCGTCCAATGCATTTCTATTTGATCCCTACCACGTTCTGAATCAAAAATCGCTATTCTTCTGAATCCGTTAACTAGCTGCATAATAATATAATACTGGGTGCTTACGGATCGTTCTAGATGACCGCAATAACACACGAAACGATAATTGAATCTATAATAAATTAACTGATATTAGTAAATCTACTCATATTATCTACAATATTTGAAAATTCGTATATTTGAACTTACTATAATCTCATCTTCAGGAATCGAACGATCATAGTGACTTTCAAGCGTCAACATACTGAGAACTCTCAATTCTATATTACACCGTCGAGAAAGCGATCTCGCATGTGCTGACCATATCCTAGCCCTCTCGCCTGAATTTTGGATAAGTGAATAGTCATGGTACAACCGTCTTAAATAAATAATTGTGTCAGGGTTAGCTGACCGAACGACCGGCGGCTCAATTATCTCACTGAATAAAAAAATATGTATATATAAATATATATCAAAATAATTTAAAATTACTAACACTTACGCATTTAGCAAAATTCGTCCGTTAGGTGAGATTTCGACTTCGAGAATAATACGACACATAATTATTTAGTTAATATAAAAAAATTAAAATAAAAGTAATGAAAAGGAATAAATATCACAAATGAAGGGTACAACAACGTTAAAAACACGACTGGGTTTCTAGGTCTGACCTAGTGGCGGCGTGAACATTTTTCATTCATGAGACAACAACGTTTTTAGGGACCACCCACCCCCAAAATAGTTTCCGAATTACGAGTGTCGAGTACATTTATAATAATAGGTACACACTACACACCATAGAAAAGTAATAAACGTGACCAATGACAACTACCCAGTACCCACTACCACCCACCCACATCGTCATGAGACCCGGGTCTCATAAAACCCTTGTCACGCCGCTACATGAATACAAAACGGTCGTTCGATGAAGCCTCTAAAGAGATGCATACATACCCAGAACTGAATGTTACATTTTTTCGTAATAACGTGAAGCACAAGTCTTTGATACATAAAGTTACTACATCGAGATGAGTACAGAAAAAACTGTTGATTGTGTTGTAACTAATACTCTAGAACCTCATCCAGTTGTAAATGGTAAGCTAAAGGAAAAAACCTACAATTTTTAAACAATAATGCATATATTTTTTTTCAATCAAATAAATACATAATATATTATTACAATGGTATAAGTATGTCATATTAATTGAAAAAATATTTAATACTATTTATATTTTATTAATTAATTAATTTTTATCAAATCAGTATGCTTTTATACTTACCTACCTTATTAGTTTTAAAATGTTTAGATTATAATAATAATAATAATAATAATAATAAGTTTATTACCATCAAATAAGATTACAAATAGTATTAGCCTAAGCTGAAATTTAAAAATTGATGGATCTCCTCAAAAGCCAATGGCTGTGCTAGAGGAGAGAGTTCACAAACGTAATTAATGTTAGATATAGATTTTAACGTAAGAGAAAAAGAAAAAAGAAAAAACAGATATTAGATAGACTAAATAAAACTAAAACAAGAAAAATTACAAAAACAGAGTATTAACATAATTTTTATAACTTAAGTAACTTTTAAAATTATTGACGTTTAAATTATGATCACAGCAAAATTTTACAAACTTGAATTGAGGACATTGCTGTCCAAAAACAGTTCTAATTTTAGGTATAATGACATTTGATTTCAATTTTAGTCGGGTAGAATAATCATGGCTTGGAACAGCTATGTCCTCCTTAAAACTATACATTAAAAAACAAATATTTTTAAAATATAAAGACTTAAGGTTTAATATATTTAACTCTTTATATAAACTCGAAGTTTGATGCATGCAAGGTATATTGAAAATGAATTTGAGCAGTGAATTAAGTGTTACCTCAAGGTTAGAAAGGTGTGTATGGTAAGTACCTCCCCAAAAAGAAATACCATATGAGATGATTGACTGCACAAGTGCAATGTAAGTTAGCTTTTGTATAACTGATTGTGAAAAAATAATAGTTCAATATGCAATATTTACCAATTTAACATTTAATTTGTATTTTTAAATTTATAATGTTTGTTTTGTTTCCTTTAATTTATAGATGAACCTGCAGACTTAGCATTTGAACTTATCAGTTAATTTGATGCAAAATTG